TTGTTTTATATCTCTTTTTTGTTTTGTTTTTTACTGGGGATGACCTAGACAAGTTCTTTGTTGAACTTTTGTCATTACCCTGTCATTTTATTAACATCATGGACTAAAATAAAATTGATTGATTGATCTTCTTCTAGGAGTAAAATTCTCGCCGTACCTAATGCCTCTTCGATCCACGATTACGAGTGTAGTATGACCTATATTCCGTATATCTATTATGAATAAGAAATGAATTAAAGTGAAAAGAAAAAGAATGGAGGTGCGGGGCATCGATCCCCGTGCCTTGCGCATGCAAAGCGCACGCTCTACCATATGAGCTACACCCCCGATTGAATCCTTCTAAAGTTCTCTTAGGAGATCACAACAGAAAACAGAAATGTCTGCAGGAGCAGGGATAAACAAATCTAAGCAGACTTTATTTTACAGTAAGAAATACATCTCGTCAAAAATCAGCATAAGTTGCTATTTCCAAAAGCAGGAGACTGACCAAGTGGCATACTGTCGGTTCGCAGCAAATAGACCTGATTACTCGATTGGCTCAAAACTGCCATTATCCCCTGTTCCAGAGTACGACAGTCACTATAGTTGTCGAAGAAACAATGCAGCTAGAGCACTTTTCTCTATCGCTTTGTTTTTGCCAGACATATCTTCAGTAGCCACCAGTATGACTCAGAGTCTTGTAGCATTTTCAGTGCCTTAAATATGACTACGTGATTTATCTGTGGCTGATGGGTGATTAACGGTCTTGACCGTAGCTATTGCATATATGCATTATACGTTTTTGGTATGTTAGTTATGTCTATCAAATGTACCCAAGCTATTTTTTTCTAAAAAAGCAGCGACTTCGAGGTGTTTTTTCCAAGACATTAAGGTGAATAACAGCAAAAAGATGAGAAAATACATCTAACATAGCTTCAAAACGCACTGCGGATGTATTTTTAAGCCAGCCGAGTGCTTTATTAAGACACTTTTTTTTGACAGTGAATTCTCGTAAAAAAAGTAAAAGTCTCCCGGAGATAACAGCATCATCTTCTTCTAGCAGTAAAGTTCTCGCTGTACCTATTTGAATGCCTCTTCGATCCACGATTACGAGTGTAGTGTGATCTATATTCCGTATATCTATTATGAATAAGAAATGAATTAAAGTGAAAAGAAAAAGAATGGAGGTGCGGGGCATCGATCCCCGTGCCTTGCGCATGCAAAGCGCACGCTCTACCATATGAGCTACACCCCCGATTGAATCCTTCTAAAGTTCTCTTAGGAGATCATAACAGAAAACAGCAACCTGCATAAAATTTAACAGTGTTGCAAAATAATAATATCAATATCAATAGACGAAAAAGTTTTGATAAGTTTAACGCGTTTTTCTTCTTGATGATTTCAACATAAGTGTACGTCCCCCGTCTCTTCATTTAATTAGATTTTCTTTGAATTCCATTCATACTACATTCCTGCTTTTCTTTTTGAATCCTTCTAAAGTTCTCTTAGGAGATCATAACAGAAAACAGCAACTGTAACTACAGTTGCAGTTATTCAGAATATTGTTTGTTTCGCTTTTAAAATGCAAATTACTGATTTTCTGAAAGAGACGAAAGCTCAAAGGACGGGGCCGATTATTTGATGACATCGGCTCCTGTTTGAATTCCATCGACACATACATAGTTAGATCACCTGCAGTCGATTTACCAGTGGCTACAAAAGGCGTAAAAGTTATCAAAATATTCCGATGAGAAACCACTTTAGAATGCCGGGAGATGTCTTATTAATGTAACTATTTTCCATAGTCGGAAGTATTTCTAAGCATACTTGGCCTAAGAACGACTATTTATGCGTAATATACAGAATTATAGCGCAAAAAAGGAGCTTTCGATTGACATATAATAGTTCTAGTAAGGTATGAAGCCAAGACAGACACACTCGAATATATGATCGATAATACGTATCAGAAGGAGCATAACTTTGATTACAGTTAATTGGACCCAACTTTTGCTGAGAGCAATTCTAAGGTCTGTCGAGTACCTAGAAATGTTCTCCTGTTCAGTCTGCATCTAACCATGTATGTGTCGATGGAATTCTAACAGAGGCCGATGCCATCAAATAATCTGCCCCGTCCTTTGAGCTTTCGTCTCGTTCAGGAAATCAGTATTTTGCATTTTAAAAGCGAAACAAACAATATTCTGAAAAACTGATTTCACCAATCGATAGAGCTCATCGAGTTCTATCCGGCACACTTATTTCCACAGATGGTACAGCTTAAGCGCAAATCAATTTGATTTCTCATCTCAGGTTAGCTGTTGAGACTGCAGAAATTATTAATGTCAACCTTTTCTATCGGAAGTAAGTGGTAGGGGACAGAGTTGGAACAGAAACCGCCGATCTGGTGGAACTTTTTCAGTTGGCCAATTTTCACGGTTTTTTGTTACTGATTTCCTAACCGAGGCGAAACTCATGTACTTTTTATTTTTATTTTTCTCTTGCAAGTTCTAAAAATGTAAACAAAATCGATTTTTAGTTTCAAATAATAACACTTATAACTTCAAGATGAAGTTCAGGGACAATCAAGCAATGTATTCAATAAGTAACTGGTCATTATTCAGAACAACTCAGTCGTTGAATATTCTTAAGATTTATTGTGTTTGCATTAATCGATGACCATAAGGTTCTATCGCTACATAAAAGTTTAATAAAATATAACACAATAAAGGGAATGAATTGACTAGGAAAGACCAGAAAATTCCTGAAATTACGGAAGGGATTATGGCAGGTGTTATCAGCGCTCCATCTCACGCGTTTTCTAACAATGCCTCATGTTCGATGAATCAACACTTGACGTAGACTAACGAAATGTAAAAATGTAAACTCATACTTTTATTTTAGAATAGCGTCTGAGAAAACTTCTGAAATTTTCCAAGTTACAATACAGGTTTTACGTTTTACTTATGATGGCACAAAAAAGCACAAGTTTTATGAACAAAAAAACTCCCTCTCTAAAGAGTGTCGTTAATTTCACCATGTTTTACCCTTCGTCGGAAACATGATGCAATTCATTTCAGGTTCAGCTAGAGTTTGAGCTCAAAAGAAGTACATACGCCTCAAAATTTTCATTTTGTAGAGAAACGTTTAATCTACTTAATTATCTAGTTGCAATTTTAGATCAGTTTGTAGCTTTATTGCAATAAATTTTTGAAAATAAGCGAAAAAAGGGGACCGTTAGCTGGACAAGCCGTGCGCTTTACGGAAAATTTTCAATACAGTACCAAAAAACGAAATAAAAATTAGAAGAAAATTATTTTGCGCATTTTCACTGCCTCACTTCATCTGGCTTTTCTTTACTTGGTTTTATTACACTGAAAAATAGCGCGCAAAAGTCGAACAGGTTTATTGGACAGGTCTACGATTGGTGTATGCCTTATTGGAGTATAATGGCCTTCCAACTTCAGCTTTGAGTAGAGAATTCTCTCTACGAGATTATCTCTACAGGTATTGGACAAAGTTTTCAAACACTTAAAAGAGTCTGTAGAGGTTGTTTCTTACCAGCAAACCTAGATAGCATTCCTCACAGCACCTTCTAAAACTTATTACAACAGCACGGGCTTTCGAAAAAACAGCGTATTTCCAATCAGACTCGCGGAGAGAGCTCAGCATACGTATTTGGACGTGCTCACGTTCAGGAATGTACACAAAAAACAATTCGGTATATTCAAGAAAACTTTTTCCCTTCTTGAATACTTTATGTTAAAGTATTTTCCTGTGTATCCTCCTTAAAATATGCTGTATGATATTAGGCTAAAAACCTGTATGCACAAAAGAAACAGGAAAAACAGAAAATGTATACAAAGAATGTTTTTGTTGTAGGCTACACAACTGTTTTTGTTACGCTCTTTCTCCCATGCACCTTAAAGTTTTATGTTCTCTTTCTCTATACAACGGTTTGTTATTCAGTCGATTTCTGTATAAGATATGCAAATTAACTGTTGTACTTGTTTGCTGCAACTGAAAGAAGTGATTATAGTCCCTATTTTTGGTACTTTTAATTTTTTTTCCTGTCAATGAACTCATGTAGATGTTAATTGTTAACCTTCGGGAACAATAAATTCAATATTAAAAAAAGAAACTGTATTCATATATCTGTAGGGAATGTGATGTGAGCATGTCTGAGTAAATAAAATAAAATAAAAAGATGTGTTTTTACCATTTGAAATGGATACGTAAATGTTTATAGTGCACCTTCTGTTTTCTTTACGTTATCGCATCGTTGGCAAAATTCTCATCAGAAGATTGTGCATTTGGTATACATAAAGTACGTTCAAAGTTCAGATCTTCACTCCGCTGATTTGGCTCACCATTCACTGCCTGCCGAGCAGTTCGTAACACATTTTGTTCATAACACGAGTAATATACAGTTGCATTCTCCGTGATCTGACTGCTGCTGAAGCCGCTCGGTGATGTGGACTGTTGTTGAAGTTGTACTCGTCGTTCAGTTTCTACTCGTATCATATTACGTTGAACATGATGAGGTAATGCAGGATTTAAACTGAGCACATACGGAAGAATTATCTTCGATATATCACTAAAATCAATTAAACATTTAATGAACATAGTATCATTTTTGATATAGTGATTATCATCTCTTATGATCATCGATAATGGAAAAAATTTCGGTATTCCCGAGGCAATATTCATTTCGCTTCTAGGTCGTTGAAAACTATTTGAGTTTGTATCTGGTCTGAACGAATCAATAATGTGTCGTTGTTGTCCAGATTGATCGTAGAGACAAAATGTCACTTCAAAACTAAAAGGCCATTTCACAATCGCATCGAATGAACCACGCATAATAACAAGAAAGAGTGACATATATGTTCTACGAGCATTCCCATCTCCGTGTAAATAAAGGCGAAGACGCATTTTGTACCCAGTTGGAGACGAGTAGAATGCCGGTGAATAAATCGATGTTTGTCGTTCCGATTGAGCATCAGCCATTTTCTCTAAAACATTAGTAATTTTCCATGTAAGAGTTCCATCATAGCTGATAGATTGTAAATCTTCCATCTTTTGTTTTAAGCTTGCTAATTCTTGTAGTAATATTTCCTTATTCGAGCTAATGCCCGCAATATATGAGTCTATCTCGGCTATTGATGATTTAACTAAACTTATTTCCGTTTGGCATTCTTGTATTAAATTTTGGTGATGTAACGATTCAGTACTTAAACGATTTAACTCGTCGTTTAATGGAGTTGTCAATGTCTCGTAAAATTGTTGAAATCGACAGTTTATGGCTGAAATTGTCGACGGGAAAGTAGTGTCGGCAATTGACATTGATGATGATAGATTAAACAGGTTACAAGTACTATCTGTGATAGCCATATCAGTTCCATTAAAACGTGGTTGAATTAGTTTCATGATTTCTTCAAGAACAGATTCTAAACATATTTTATAGATTGTTATATGATCATTATCTAGATGATTCTAAAACAATATTAGAAAGAGATGCAAAATTCACTACCGATGTTACAGTTTTTTCAAATACTTGATAGTCTTTTAATAAACCATTCCAATTGCATCCGTTATCTTTCTCTTTACAGACAACGGTTAATTCCATCAGTTCTTTTTGAAATCCTTTATCATGCAGTATCTATATGATAGAATATAGATGTTTTAAAAGTTGTGAATTTAAAGGCGCTTCTAGTAGTGACGTATCTACCGTGGGACCGAGGGAAGAGCATGATCCTTCTCTTACCAAACTATATCATACTATCTCTGATAGAGAAATTTTTTAACTCATAGGATATGAACTGTGCAGCTGAAAAGAATAAACTATAATTTAGTTCTGTAAGGATGTGATCCTTTTGCAGTACTATCTTCATTTATTTTGTATACTCTCACTCCATTCTTTACATTTTTTAACTTTTCTTTGTTATTTTCCTTGATAAAAGAAATCCCGGATAGAGTGATATGCCGAAGAACGGTACTCTCGCCCACTTTTCTGCTGTCCCGGTGTGATTCAAGTAAATATCATAATATCGTAAAAAATATCATATTATCGTTCGGTCAAAAAAAATCAAACAGAAAACAAAAAATAAAGAAGAACCCTTGGGAAAATAATAAACAAAACGGACGGGGTCATTAAATTTTCACAAAATGTGACGGGACATAGAATAGTATTTGGAATATTTCTCCACTCATGGAAAACTTCTGGTAATGATTTATATATAGAATTATAGCTATCGAAGAGCTACGAAGCAAATCTATGTGATACCGCTTTTCATATTCTTACAATTACTTCCATATCTATTATGAAGGTACAAATTTTGTATGTTAAAGTGGAACAAAATATCTCGCATAAGTCATGATGCAACCCAGAAAAGTAGAAAATTATTGGAAAAATAAAAACAACAATTTGGTGATGAAGATCAAAAGAAAGCTACTAATAAAATCATGAATTAAGTTTAAAAACTGAATTAAATGTAAACTGGATTTAAAACTTTCAACTGAGAGTTAGAGCAGAAAAATTGTCCTTCTAGTGAACAGCATACCTGACTATTTGGTGTCTTCTCAGAACATACGGGACATGTTGTTCTAAAATCAGACAATGCAAATAATATCTTTGATGTTTAACAAGTGTTATGTAATTGAATAAGAAAATTGATAATAGATACATTCTTATTTCACTTACTCAGTTTCCGAAACAATGCATTCTTTACATAATCGGTGTCCGCAATTTGTGAGTTGAACCGGTGATCGCAGGATCATTTTGCATATCGGACAAATATATTTTTCAGGCATACTGTTCTTGTTATACATTTTGTAACTGCACTTTCAAATGAAATAATCTAAAAATAAAAAATGGGCAGGTGTGAGCACAAGGAACTGTACGAGTTGTGCTAGGCAGCTTCAAGATACTACTGAGGCAGCATACACATTTGTACATCGAATAAACGTATTCAATAAATAACTAGTCATTCCAACTGAATTACTCATTATTTATTTCTATTGATCAGAAATTAACCACTTGACTGTTAACGACGAGTATACTCGTCAGAGCAATTTTTATGGAAAAGATGCAGAGTATAATTCTTTAACTCAGTTTTCCCTATATGTCATGGGTCGGCTCTAACATGCTGCACCTATTGGAGCTCACTCTACCGACTCTGATGTTTCCTATATACTATGTCGCTCGCTCTTGAAATTGCGTAATAGAAAGGGAAAAGGTCAAACAAGGTAAATATCAATTTGTTAATTGAAAAGAGAACAAAAACAAACAAGTGTAACAGATCAAGGAGCGAAGAAAATAAATGACGACATAAATTAAACATAACATAACAATAAACATAAATTTGACATAACAGTCAAGGGGTTAATGAGTAATTCAGCTGCAAAGGCAATTTATTTATAGAATAATCAAGTCATGCCAGTAAATATATTCACTGTAAAAACATATACTTTTAAATATGAAGAAAACGATATGGATTACACAGCACAAGAGAAAATAAAAGTTTCTTGAAAGTCAGTGATAACTAAAAATATCCAGGACGTACCAGTCGACGCTTGAAGACGGTACCTAAAATACTGCAACAAAACTGAAAGAAAGAACATCAGCAGCTAGTCACCCGAAATTACATACACTCACTCATGCCATCTAAACTATCCGCTGTTTCAGTTGATTATCAATCATATCATGCAAACTTTCAGCAAAATAATATAATGTTAATGCCATAGTCTTATTATTTTGACACTGATACTTATCACCCAATTCATCACAATACAAAGCCGAATCAGTTAGAACCTGGTTTAGCAGTGTTTCTTTCTGACTTAAAGAACAAATGACTTTCGGATACGATTTTGATAATTGTTGGTAGCGTCGCGGTTCAGAAGCAAATATATATATCGAGCGAAGTGTCGTTTCATCGTGGAGTGATTTTAATATATCATAGATGTTATACTTTTCCGTTAGAACGAGAGAGTGAATCGTTCTATTCAGCCGAATATGCTCGAAACAATGTTCTTCATCATCAAAATATTTCGACTGAGGTACAGCACGTCGAAGTTCATTGAATGTATCTCGACTTGCTTTTGTTTTATCACCGAGAAAAACTACGTCGAATAAGACACTAGCATCTAATGCTGAATGGTTGTTACTTTCGATCAAATATTCGGTTGCAATAGCTGGTGAGACGTCAGTGATTGGCAGAATAAATTCGTCGTCATTCTGGTCATTTTGCTTGAATTCGCTATTGTCCGGGTTAGTTAGTAGAGCTGCAGCACCTTTTTCATAAATTTTACGAAGGTCATCGACTTGCTCTGACGTTTTAAGCGAATCACCGAGTTCAATGTTCGATAACGCTCGATTGAAATGAATTGTCCGCACACCTGCAATATTATTCAGACTTCTAGCAATATGTGCGTGATCCGAGGGCAAACATTTTTCTTGCATTCTAAGACATGTTGAATAATATTCCCAAGCACCAGCATACTCGCGTTTTCCCTTATAAGCATTGCCAATAGAAGCCAGACTGGTAGCAATACATGAATGCAAACACTTTATATAAGTTTTATAAACCCGTTTATAAACGAACGATTGTGGTATGTACCTTCGATAAGTGTCAGCGAATTCCTGGATAGTTTGCACGACTTTGCATGAATTTTCTTGATCTATCATATCACGTTCAACATAATGAGGAAATGAAGGATTTAAACTTAGCATATACGCTAGAATTTTATTCGATATATCATCAAAACAATCAATTGAACATTTACGGAACATAGTAACATCTGTGCTATGGGCGTTCTCAGCTTGTAAAATCATCGAAAATGGAAAAAATGTCGGCATTACCAAGACGACCATCATTTCGATTGTAGATCGCTGAAAACCGTTTAACTTTGCATCGGATCTGAACGAATCAATAATGTGTCGTTGCTCTCCAGATCGATCGTAAACACAAAATGTCACCATATAATCAACCGACCATTTCACAATCGAATCGAATAGCTCATGCATATTACGAGACCAGAGAACACTTATTTGTTCCGATTGAGCAAAAGCCATTCTCTCTGAAACATTAGGAATACATAAATGTTGTTGACATAACAATTCAATACTCGAACGAATTGAATCTTCGTTTAAGGGTTGACTATTTTTTGTTAGAGTTGCCAGTGACTCGTAAAGTGGTTGACGTTGAGAGTAAAAATAGTTTATAGTTAAACTTGTCGATAACGAATTAGTATCGGCAGTTGACATTAATGATAATAGGTTCAACAGATGAGAAGTACTAAGTAAGTAGGTTATTAAATTAAATGCGCTGCAAAATTTGGGTAAAACATCTTAAAAAGTCTGGGGGACTTAAAATTTTTGTTTTAGTCAAGAGATAGAGGACTATCTGGAGAATATGTAACTTCT